CTACGTAGTATTAATCGAAGGATATGATGAACACAAGGAGACTGCGCCCAAAGCGTAAGCGGTATACAATAGTTTAATCAAGAAGTTTGATAATATGTATAAAACATTCATTCGAGTTCTAGTAACCGTTAAGTAACTGTAAGTTGCCCATAGTTTAATCAAGACGTTTGATAAATTTTGATAAAACACACATCCCAGTTTTGATTGTAACGTTAACGTTACGATGCCAATAGTTTAATCAAGAAGTTTGTAATTTCGATAAACACACATTCCATAAATTTCGAATGATCGACTGTAGCGACCGTTAATGTACTGTAGAGTTGAACAATCATCTTTCAATCATGGGTCAATGATCAAAGAAATCATCGTCGGGGGGTTGTGGCGGTGGCTGTTGTTGGTGCATCAATGTCAGAGTAGTTTGCAGTCTTATAATCACTGTTTGTTACATCATTATGATTGCACTGTGTAAAATCGAATGTAAGTTAGTGGGTTGCTTCGTGATGGGTTAGGCGCATTGCCGGGGGCTTTAGCGATGGCTACTGTAACCACTGGCAATTTGCCCCGGTTATCGTTATTATGGAAGTTGTTCCGAGTAATCAAGCGAAGGTTTATGCACGAAGCACTATTCCTTATTCTTGCCAGCACACAAGCGAAGCGGCGTGTGTTACTGCTACTACTAGTACTAGTACTTCGAAGTAATAGACCTATGCATTCGTTTTAGAAGTTGAAGTTTCTAGTCCAATCCAAGAGCCCTTGAAATTGTTTCAATCCAACATTCCAACCAATGGTACTTCAGCCATGTTTGGCTCAAAGATATGGTCCATATCTTGTCCCAGACAAACATTTTATATGTAATTTTTGTATAGTATACATTGCACGGTATTGAAATGTGCTTCAAGTCGATTTCTCCAATAAACTACCCTGTCCAAATTAGGTGCAAAGGACAATAATATTATTACTTCGATAAGAAGACAGCGCCCAAAGCGTAAGCGGTATACAATACCGGTGCAATGTAGCCCAAAGGTACACAGTACAGAATATGTCCTTTAACTTAGATAACGTTAGTAGTACTCCATTGGTTGAAGCGCATAACTCACAGTGTTATACTGCGAATCATCCGCCTTGTACTGCCATTGGTTGAAGCGCATAACTCACAGTGTTAGACTGCGAATCATCCGCCTTCCTACTCGAGGTTGGGCCATGATAGCGAAAGGAAGATACATATAAGTACTGTAGTATACTAAACACGACGCGAGGAGTCGAATACAAAGTACTACTTCGAAGTATTAATAGTAACGTTTGAGTTCGTTTTACAGGTACATGTACAACGTTATGCGCACATATTTGTACGACCCAATTGTTGATAGAGTTGCTTACACTTTTTCCCTGAGACAACAAATACAAACGACTCTGATACCCCAAGGTTTCGTTCCAAGGAGCAATTCCCCGATTAAAACAGTCCCACACTTGTTTTGACTCGAAATACTGTTGTGAATAAGGGAATTATGCCATCCAAATACGCTATACTAGACCGTATTAGTAGCCCTATAACCTGGGATTCCATCCTACCCACGGCGAGTAGATATAATGCCAAATCCCCGGGGTTAACTGACAGTGAATCACCTGTTAATCGGGGAATTGTACCAGTATCCGACTGGAATGCAATCATCAAAGTCCAGAAATCATTACTACTGTAAATCCATAACCATTTGAAATCTGATAATCCCTCGGGCGGCCACATGGTCAGCACATGACTCCCTAGACTTTCTCCCACATTGTGTCACGAAATCGTTCATGGCCAAGTCATCCATCCACAAGCTTCGATATCTTCCCACTTTGTACTACTCAAAAAGAAATGTTGCCACCCAATCAATACATGCTAGGAACGATGCATTATTCACATATTAGATTCTTTGTGGGGTCCTTACGTGTCGACATCCTTTCGACGTGGCAAAACTTTTTGACATACTGGGCAAAACCTATTTTGGTACAGAAATACCATTGAATAGTCAACGTGGAAGCTGTTGTCTCAGGCAGCCGTTTGTAATTCTACGCTACCGTCATGTCACGTACGTACGTTATGTACGTATGCTTTAACTTATATACTATATGATCTTGTACATACATTTGAATGTACTATAATTCCGCGTTGCGTGAGGAAATTGCCTCGCTGTGCCTACCCACAAACCTGGACATGTCACCTGTTCAGTGACGATATTCCTATTCGACCCTACTCTTGGCACATGGGAGCGTCCCACATTGGTTTCATTGGGACTGCTGAGGATCCTCCATCAGCCGTGGGTACATGAACCAAGTGAATGTGCAACCTCATGGTGGTGGCTGCTACCTTGCCACCTCTGCCCTTAGCATTTTATGACTCGTTCCTCTCATTCTCGAATTGACTCAGACGATGAAAATCGCTGTCGTCTTGTCTGTCGTGGCCGTCGCCGTGGCCACCCAGGATAAAATATGGCCCAGCGTATTTCGATCGCTCGAGCGAACGTCCACCGCTTCTGTGGCTGTGACCGTTGATGATTTGAACGTGCAAAAGGACCCTACCGTGTTCGACTGGGCCAAATGCAATGGCCTTGAAAATGAACTTGTACTTCTTTGCAACGACTTGATCAAGGCAGAAATCAAAAGCCTCGCTGCGTTGCCAGGCGTCCAAAAGATCACGACTATCGCAGACAGCTCCCCCAAGTGCCGCCCCAAAATCACCTCGAAACCTATTACCACCGAGGCTACCCCTACCACTACCGAGGCTGCCCCTACCACTACCGAGGCTACCCCTATCACCACCGAGGCTGTGCCAGACATCAGCACTCCTTGCCCTTCCAACCACACCCCCAAGCCAGTCACCACGGAGGCTACCCCTATCACCACCGAGGAGGCTACCCCTATCACCACCGAGGCTACCCCTGTCACCACTGAGGAGGCTACCCCAATCAACACCGAGGCTGTGCCGGACATCAGCACTCCTTGCCC